ATCTCTAGTTTGAACTAGTGGGGCATAATAATAATAATAATAATAATAATAATAATAATAATAATAATAATAATAATAATAATAATAATAATAATATAATTAATAATAATAAAAGTGATGAGGAATCCTTTTAGTTCTTTTCACATTATTTTATTCGACAGATGCAGATTCCGTGTATTGGTTCATTGGTTGCATATTCAATTCGCGAGTGATGATATCTTTAATTGATTGGTATATGAATAAGCTGATAAGCTTTAACTTGAATCTTGGCTTTCTACTTTAGAGCAAAATAGATAGCAAAGTTATGAGAATTTAGAACCACACATAGTAGTCTATGTGTCCCACAAAGACTTTTCCTCCTTTCAGAGCTGACGTTTTTTTTTTTAGTCAGCCACGGTATTCGGAGTTATACTCCGACTAATTCGTTGGTCAATTCGAATCGCACTACTATAGTGGTGGGTGAGTCTCCCAACAAGGATTTTATGCATCTACAAGGGCTCGAACCCGAGACCTTACTTAAGCGACACTCAATCTGCTTACCACTTGAGTCAACCCCTGTTAGTTGAGAGCGACCTTTTATAAGTACAAACACCACCACATTCGAGACGTAACATAACCTTATTCTTCAAAATTTACCCGCATTTGATTAAAAAGGTTGTAACAAGTAAATAATATTTTGGTTGTACTTTATAACAGTGGCGGAGCCACACCTTGTGGCTGGGGTCCGCTGACTCCTATGAATTTCAAAATTTTTAGTATAAAATACTGTTCAAACACTGTTTACTAGGTTAATGATCCCGCTAAAAAATATTGCCGACCCCGGTGAAATTTGAAGCCGACTTCGCCCCTGCTTTATAATAAATTAATAATAAAAAGGTTGTAACAAGTAAATAATATTTTGGTTGTACTTTATAATAAATTAATAATATACTATACTTTAAGCATGAGATATTGTACTTTTTTTTATAATGAAAAAATGATTATTTTATAGTGTTTTGCATAACATTTCACATTCAAGATATTATTTTTTTTTTTGAAAAGGGTAATTACTAGCAGTATCTAGATGCATGACCAATGCCCAGCGCTTAGAGCGTCTAGACGGGGCTTATAAATCAATATTAAATATTTTATTTTATATTTATTTTGATTGCGTCCAAAATAAAACTATTTAAACTTATATAAAATTCACACACTTAACTCCAAATAATAATATTAATATATTAAAACAAATATGAGAATAAAATAATATAATTATTATTTAAAAAAATAAAAAAACAAATTGAGTCGAGCCTGCCTAACAGCGCCTAGGTCCGCCTACCTAGACGCCGTCTAACTGTTTGACCGCTGAGCCCGTCAAGTCTACTTAAGACCGCCTAGCAGCCTGACCGATTTTTTGACCGATTTGTACAAATCGGAGGTAGTTTTACACCGCCTAGCGCCTAGGCGCTGCCTAGGCTGAATTTTAAAACAGTGATAATGAAAAATTTCGAATATATCTTTCGGTTCGAATAGCAAAAGCCGTGAGCATTTTATCCAGCTCTAAAGTCAAAACTTTCATACATAGGTTCTATCAGACAATCTCAGGGTCCTTTTAATAATATATATTAATTTTTCTTTTATCTCGTTTACCCTTTTTGCTTTTCACAATAAAATATAATTTAATAAAGTTTTCGATTAGATATATTATTTTAGAAAAAAAAAAAATATTTAATTGAAAAAAAGTGAGTTACAGAGTGGAAAATATTTATTATTGTGAAAATTAAAAATTCATATTTTATTTCACAGGCTGCTCAATAGTCCTTATGCCCACGAGGGTGCTACAAATGTTGGAGCTCCATTTCAAGCAACGTCATCAGCCCACATTGCCTGGTGGTGGGCCCCAAGCCCACGATTGGCCCAAATTAGGTGATTTTTTTCTTGCGTTTTGCTTTCTCCTTATAAATAATAAAAGATTTAATTAATTAATAAAATAAAAAATATATTCTGTCTGCTTTGTAAATATACACTTTGAATCTTGAATCTTCGGCCCCAAATGGTACATCATACCCTTAAATGCAGTTGTGTCACGTACAAGCTGACTACTGTTTTTGAAAGCCAATAATTGGCATTCTTTTGGGGGGCAACTATGCAAATCCCCTTGAGTTTTGTGGTACCTATATATAATTATTAGATGATACGGTATCGTTACGGAATCATCCGTCGGAGTTTGTAACCGATAGATCATCTATTCCCGATGATTACATGATAATCTAACGGTTACAAATCCCGACAGAATGGTTATGTAACGGAACAGTAGCATCTCTTATAATTAGAAATAAGATATACCTACTTTAGTTTTTTCTTTTACATAGCAATACCGAACTAAAACTATTTGTTCTTTTAAATTTATTTTTATTAAAGATTGAAGCATAATTATATTACCATATTAGTTAAACTATGCATCTTCTTCTTGATTTCTACTTTTTGATTTTATTGAGATATATATATATATATATATATATATATATATATATACCTTTTTAAATGGATATTATTTCATTTATTTTTTAAAATAAGAACTCAATAAAAAAAGGTAAAGTTATTAATAATTTTTATAAATACTATATCAAATTAATTTTCTTTCAGTGATACTTTTATTTCAACATTTCGTACATAAAATGATTTTTCATTGATTTAAAATAATCTAATGTTTTATATATTCGTATGTATTAAATTTTCACCAAGTTCATTAATTAGTTATTGAATAATGCAAATTAAAATCATGAAATGTTGAAAATTTTAGAACAATACAAATATCTCACATTTTTCATATTATATATTTATATTATTCTCTCACTAGTTGCTCAATTCAAACATTAGTTGCTTTAGCTTTTAGCAATAAAAGATTCCCAACAAATCAAATTTAAATATCTTGAGATATTTTGTATTGTTCTAATGCCTGCTAATAAATGACTGGTCTTAGTCTTGTGAGAAATTTGAAAAGGACACCCACCAATTTGAATTTGGTGGTTATCATGTCTCACTCTTAGATCCACATAATAAAATTATGTTTGAACCTTTTTTTTTTTTAGTAGTTATAAGGTAAGGATAAATAGACATTATTTATAGGGTAAAATGCCAAGGTCCCGTTACGGGACGGTACCGTCAGCGTTTTCCACTATTGGATAAGAAAAGTAAGTTATGTTGTGTGGATAATCTACGACAACAAACTATTACGGAACTATTCCGTCAACGGGACTTTAGCCGTTCCTATTTATAGGTACTCATTTTATTTTGTTTTGAGTCAACAAAATATTAATTAAGCAAAGCATGTGGCAGATGAGTCCAACACATCAAAGGGGCATTCACAGCTGGAAAAAGGGCCTTCAAATGGCGACGAAATGCAACTGCCGCAAGAATGGACTTACTAAGGCCCATGGGCCCATGACTCTTGATCTATGTCAAGAAATAATAATATGTAATAATAATAATAATAATAATAAAAGAATGCACAAAAATAAAAAAATAAAATGGATAAAATAAGTAGGCATTGGAATTTGGAAATAAGCATAATTTTTGCATTGACCTTAAATTGGTGCTATTCGTGTGTAAATGGGCTCAATTTTTAGGTGTTGAATAAGATGTTGTCAAGGTTTTTGTTTTGTTAAATTTGTGTATATGTAGTGAAGTACTTGTTATTGGCTAATAAGTGTTTGCATCAAATTTGACATTTATGAAGATTTTGTTGGTTATGTTTGGTAAGCCTGCTTGTTAGGTGGAAATGATCTTATACATATATAGAGAGAGAGAGCAAATAGAAATTTTATTTGCTATTTGTGTTTTAGTTAAACTAATAGTTGACTGAATTGCCAGGTTTGTCTAGTCATTAATTAGATTAGTTGATTTTGTAAAAGTGTGTGATAAATAACTAATATCGGGTAGTTCATATAGAACTCTCCAAAATTAGTTTAGGGAGATGCTACGGTCCCATTACGGAACTATTTTGTCGGGGTTTGTAACCGTTAGATCAACTATCTCGACGGTCACATGATGATCCAACGGCTACAAACCCCAATCGAATGGTTCCGTAACAAATATTAATGAATATCTCTTATCCGTGCATAGCACATGATCCGTACTAGTTCTAAAGAGAATTCGATAAACTAAAACACAAAAGTATCACTTGAAACTGGCAAATTAATTATAATATTTTACTTAAATCTATGCAAATTCACAGGATCAAATACTAGTATTTCTTGAAGACGACCCGACAATCGAAATCACATGAACCCAATAAACTCGAGAATATAGAGATAAAGTATTCTACCACAATTTCGGCACGACGCGTGCTATTTAACATCGGGATCACCACGTGCACACATTCAACCGAACTCCTCATGTAGGAGAGAAAAAAAAAAAACGTACAAACATGAACTTACAATATATTCGGTCGATCTGGCAAAGATATCTTCATAGATAAGTTAAATCTTCAATCAGAATATTACATTTGTTAAATATTCTCCTAAAATAAGACAAATAGGTAATATGTGAAGGAATATAAAATATAAATACCAACACAATGAGCTTCTGCAGTCTGCACTATACTCCTGACTGTGAAAAATAAAATAAATTATGAAAGACAAAAAAAGAGATCTTAAATGATATGATGGAATAATAAATGTAAAGTGATTGTTCAAAGAGATAAATTTTATTTAGATTAGAAACGTTAGCAGAAAATCACTTACAAAGTTAAAGTTGAATGTGTTCCAAGCCTTTTCATGTATGCAGATAGTTAGCCGCCATCATGAGCTCCAAAGTCAGTTCAGGTTCGATGTGGAACTCAGTTTCCTTGCCGCTACAGAAGGGCAACAAGGGAAATGCCGTTACTTTATTTAAACGAAAAATTCAGAAGAAACCAAAAAATATACAATTCTACCAACTTCCAATAATTATCCCATAATCATATGATAATTGAGTAATAAAAATTATCTTGTTGACAAAATATTTTGGTTTCCTTCTATAAGTAACGACTGAAAAAATTTGATTCTATATCAGTACATAGACGCATCCTACATTAGAAGTGCTAAAAGTCGAATGAACTATTCGATGATGTTTAATACTCACAACACAACTTTGTGTTGTAAATATATTCATAAATTTTACTTTGACAAAATGAAAATGGATTTCCAAAAGAAGCAAGATAATTCAGAGATTTTAATTAGCTTAAGCTAAATGAAAGTATAATGCTATCTTCATCAAGCATGCTTGACCTTGTTTTCTACATAATACAAAATAGTGAAGGCTTGATAACTAAAACTGTTTGATGAAAATATGACAAATACCTTTTTTTTTCTCTCAATGTGAACGATACACTGAACAAAAAAGAACGAAAGAAATTTTCCGTGTCAACCTTTATGCAGTCATTAACTATAAACTAACTAATATGTTTTCCTTAAAGAATACATCAAATCTTTTGGTTATATGTACCTAAGAAGCATATTAGGTTTTCAAATGCATAGTTTTACACCTATCTCTAACAATATGTTGATGAGCAATCCACAAACAAGCAAATGATTGATATCTTTATGTCTTACTGCCCATGAACCGATCCATAACTCCATCATGAAACTCTAAAAATGATTTTAAACTATCATTAAATTCTATTGTCTCATTGTGTGGCCGTGTCTTCCAAAACATACAGACCATCAAACGATATGGAAAATTACTCCCAAAAAGTCCACCGTATATATGACAAATGCCATCTCACCCTATATAAAATTTGTCAATTTTGCTCCACTAAAAGATAACTTTTCCTCAGACTGTGAGTAATTGGATATTAAAATTTCCTTAAGTTTGAATAATATATAAATCAAGTTTATAGTCGTGTTTGCAAACAGCCGCAGATCAAGTAAATTTCGAGCTAATAGCTGACAACTTATGAGTGTGCGGCAAATTAGCTGATAAGCTAGTTGAAATTTTCAATGGGCTTATTTGAAAAGATACCCAAAGAAGCTTATGAGATAAACTCGAGCTTTATAAAAAAGCTCGCCTATCAAATCAAACTTATTTGAATACATGGAACTTATAAGCTTCAAATAAGCTATAAACTAGCCTATATGCTTACCAAACACAACTTTAGTCCTTGCATCACAATGTGGATGACCATACGACAAAGTTTTTATAAATTGGAAATCGCAAATTCCAAGGCATCATGTTTTTGAATGTTTATATATCAATTGGTTTAGAAGAGGAAATTCGTGTTCGTCTGCCCTAGGCTCGTAATAGAATTTTTCCATAGGAGTTGCTGGAGAGGATGAAAGATAGTTGCAGATGACACAAATAGTCATGGAACAAAAGTTAAAAATATGAAACGAAATAAATCTAGATTAATATTTGGTGCTTAATGTTTATTTTTTTTAACTGATAGCCATAAAGAATCAATTTTTTTATTTTTTTTTTGCTCCTCATTTACATTATCTATATTAATTGTTACTTACGCACTCACAGAGAGCTATGGTTAATCGACCTAGTTACTATTCCTTTATTATTGTCGCAACAAGCCTCTTGTTACATTATATAGCTTTTTACCTAATTCGTCACTGCTTCTAGGCACTCACACGAGACGGGCGTATTATAATCACAATTCAATAAAAACTTGTTATAGAAAGAAGAAATGAAAGAAGTAATCAACGACTAATAAATTGTCATCCTGAGTACCACTCGACAATGTCAAGCTATTCATAACATCACTCTTTCCTTGAACCTATAAGAATCTCACTATCAAATATCAACTTAACTAAAATTGCAAAAACGGTGTTAATGCTAATAACCGATGACAACCAACCTTCAATTCTTGAATTTTCTTTAAAAAAAAAACATACACACACATACACACATAACATAAGAGGGAGAAGACAAACCTAGCATACTGAAGAGACCAGTAAAAATACTGGCAAATCTTCTCAAGAATAACCGTGCTTATCTCTGGAAACGTCACTTCCCCGTGCTCGGCTTCAGCGAAACCACCTGAAACATGAAAATACATAAATTTTCCACAAAATAGGTCAAATGAGAAAGAACAACAAATTAATAAATTACAAATCCCAGAACAAAAGTTTCAATTTTTCTTAAAACCCTTAATTTCTGGAAACTTTTCGCAACTAAATCATCTTCAAATTAGCTAAAGGCCACAATTTTGAAAGAGAATTTCGAATTCCAGTCAGTAACCATCCCAAGTTTTCTTAAAACCACACATCCTTAAGACTCTCGAGCGGATCAATTACAATCAATCGTACCTAACTGGCATTCAAGGACCGATAAACAAGAAATTGTTGAGGTTTTAAGGATTAGCTTATAAATCATTCATTTGATTCTTAATTTTCGTAAAAAAAAAAAAAAAAAAAAAAAAAAAAAAAAAAAAAAAAAAAAAATCACCTGGTGACGTGAGCATGTTGCGAATGGTCTGAGAAACCATGGCAGCCCTTTTGTCGACGATGAACTCGAAGCCTTCGGCACTTATCAGCTTCACAGTCTCGCCCTTCTTCATCCTCACGATCAACAAGCGACCACAGAAGTAGAGACCATATAAATAAATTAAACGGATCTTTGGCAAAGAGATTTTGTATTATACTGGTAAGTTTGTGTGCTGTTTTGACCCTATATATATTTGATGTTGCAATTCGAACCCTATAGTTTTTATTTTTTCAAATTTTGGTCCTCTCTTGCTTTCATTCTATGCAAATATGTCCTATAAGTTTCCAGTTGTTGCAAACTTGGCCCTTTGAGATGAGTTGGACCGACATTTTCACTGACATTTTCATTCATCACCGGTTAAAAGTACATTATTCATCACTCTCTCATTTTAAGTATAATAATTTGCAAATTATCAATGAATCATGCTATGTCAAATAGGGTCAAAACCATTGTTATTATTCTTTGTATATTTATCAATTACTATTTTTCGATCACTTCACAATTATTTGTTATTATTCTTTATATCGTATCACCTTATATTAAAAAAAAAAAAA